TGCAATAAATTACTATTCAAAGCTAAATTCTGGTAAGTTCTTTATTTATTATTTTGTAAAAATTAAAAATGCGCACGTTAATATACTTTAAAATATTACCCAAGATATGCTTTTTAACGACTTCGAGTCAAAATCTTTGCTAGGCACCCGAAAATGTTAATCCGTGGCTCCACCTATGTGCTAAGGTACGAGCCGCCACTGCATTGCACGGGTGTGAAGTTATCCACATCCACAAATGTACACTGAGAAAAATATAACTCTATCGTAATAGTCATATAACTTGGTTCAAATTACCTGTAGAGGCTTTTCATTTGTAGATTTCAATTGGGGAGGTTTCAATACATAGCAACCATACCCGCAATTAACTTTTGCTTTGTCTCAGGGGGTGCAATTGGGGGTGAAATTTAAAAAAAAATCATAGAAGCCACAAATGGCTTTGTACACCTTTCTGCTTGGGATATGTTATGTAGTTTACTCTTTTCTTCATCCCTGATACCATGCTGGAGTTTGTCGAGCCGTCTGAGGGGGTGCAATTGGGGATGAAATTAAAAAAAAACATAAAAGCCACAAATAGCTTTGTACACCTTTCTGCTTGGGATATGTTATGTAATTTTCTCTTTTTTTCATCCATGATAGCATGCTGGAGTTTGTTGAGCCGTCTGAGGGGGTGCAATTGGGGGTGAAATAAAAAAAATCATAGAAGCCACAAATGGCTTTGTACACCTTTCTGCAAGCGATATGTTATGTAGTTTGCTCTTTTCTTCATCCCAGATACCATGCTGGAGTTTGTAGAGTCGTCTGAGGGAGTGCAATTGCGGGGATGAAATTTAAAAAAAAATCATAGACGCCACAAATGGATTTGTACACCTTTCTGCTTGCGATATGTTATGTAATTTGCTCTTTTCTTTCTCCCAGATACCATGCTGGAGTTTGTCGAGCCGTCTGAGGGGGTGCAATTGGGGATGAAATTAAAAAAAAATCACAGAAGCCACAAATGGCTTTGTACACCTTTTTACTTGAGATATGTTATGAAGATAGCTATTTTCTTTATGCCTGATACCATGCTGGAGTGTCGAGCCGTCTGAGGGGGTGCAATTGGGGGTGAAATTAAACAAAAAATCATAGAAGCCACAACTGGCTTTGTACACCTTTCTGCTTGGGACATGTTATGTAGTTTGCTCTTTTCTTCATCCCTGATAGCATGCTGGAGTTTGTCGAGCCGTCTGAGGGGGTGCAATTGGGGATGAAATTTAAAAAAAAATCACAGAAGCCACAAATGGCTTTGTACACCTTTTTACTTGAGGTATGTTATGAAGATAGCTATTTTCTTTATGCCTGATACCATGCTGGAGTTTGTTGGGCCGTCTGAGGGGGTGCAATTGGGGTGAAATTAAACAAAAAATCATAGAAGCCACTACTGGCTTTGTACACCTTTCTGCTTGGGATATGTTATGTAGTTTGCTCTTTTCTTCATCCCTGATAGCATGCTGGAGTTTGTCGAGCCGTCTGAGGGGGTGCAATTGGGGATGAAAATAAAAAAAAAATCACAGAAGCCACAAATGGCTTTGTACACCTTTTTACTTGAGATATGTTATGAAGATAGCTATTTTCTTTATGCCTGATACCATGCTGGAGTTTGTCGAGCCGTCTGAGGGGGTGCAGTTGGGGGCGAAATTAAACAAAAAATCATAGAAGCCACAACTGGCTTCGTACACCTTTCTTCTTGGGATATGTTATGTAGTTTGCTCTTTTCTTCATCCCTGATAGCATGCTGGAGTTTGTCGAGCCGTCTGAGGGGGTGCAATTGGGGATGAAATTAAAAAAAAAATCACAGAAGCCACAAATGGCTTTGTACACCTTTTTACTTGAGATATGTTATGAAGATAGCTATTTTCTTTATGCCTGATACCATGCTGGAGTTTGTCGAGCCGTCTGAGGGGGTGCAATTGGGGGTGAAATTAAACAAAAAATCATAGAAGCCACAACTGGCTTTGTACACCTTTCTGCTTGGGATATGTTATGTAGTTTGCTCTTTTCTTCATTCCTGATAGCATGCTGGAGTTTAACATATCCCAAGCAGAAAGGTGTACAAAGCCATTTGTGGCTTCTATGATTTTTTGTTTAATTTGACCCCCAATTGCACCCCCTCAGACGGCTCGACAAACTCCAGCATGGTATTAGGCATAAAGAAAATAGCTATCTTCATAACATCAAGTAAAAAGGTGTACAAAGCCATTTGTGGCTTCTGTGATTTTTTTTTTAATTTCATCCCCAATTGCACCCTCTCAGACGGCTCGACAAACTCCAGCATGATATCAGGGATGAAGAAAAGAGTAAACAACATATCATATCCCAAGCAGAAAGGTGTACAAAGCCATTTGTGGCGTCTATGATTTTTTTTAAATTTCATCCCCAATTGCACTCCCTCAGACGACTCGACAAACCCAGCATGGTGTCTTAGATGAAGAAAAGAGCAAACTACATAACATATCGCATGCAGAAAGGTGTACAAAGCCATTTGTGGCTTCTATGATTTTTTTTATTTCACCCCCAATTGCACCCCTTAGAGAGCTCGACAAACTCCAGCATGCTATCAGGGATGAAGAAAAGAGTAAACTACATAACATATCCCAAGCAGAAAGGTGTACAAAGCCAGTAGTGGCTTCTATGATTTTTTGTTTAATTTCACCCCCAATTGCACCCCCTCAGACGGCTCGACAAACTCCAGCATGGTATCAGGCATAAAGAAAATAGCTATCTTCATAACTATCTCAAGTAAAAAGGTGTACGAAGCCATTTGTGGCTTCTGTGATTTTTTTTTAAATTTCATCCCCAATTGCACCCCCTCAGACGGCTCGACAAACTCCAGCATGCTATCAGGGATGAAGAAAAGAGCAAACTACATAACATATCGCTTGCAGAAAGGTGTACAAAGCCATTTGTGGCTTCTATGATTTTTTTTATTTCACCCCCAATTGCACCCCCTCAGGCGGCTCGACAAACTCCAGCATGCTATCATGGATGAAAAAAAGAGAAAATTACATAACATATCCCAAGCAGAAAGGTGTACAAAGCTATTTGTGGCTTTTATGTTTTTTTTTAATTTCATCCCCAATTGCACCCGCTCAGACGGCTCGACAAACTCCAGCATGGTATCAGGGATGAAGAAAAGAGTAAACTGCATAACATATCCCAAGCAGAAAGGTGTACAAAGCCATTTGTGGCTTCTATGATTTTTTTTTAAATTTCACCCCCAATTGCACCCCCTGAGACAAAGCAAAAGTTAATTGCGGGTATGGTTGCTGTGTATTGGAACTTCCCCAATTAAAATCTACAAATGAAAAGCCTCTACAGGTAATTTGAACCAAGTTATATGACTATTACGATAGAGTTATATTTTTCTCAGTGTACATTTGTGGATGTGGATAACTTCACACCCGTCTGCACAATGTTAGGGTCTATTTATACTCCCTTATTATTAGTATTTGCATTAGTATTATGATTAAGCATTAAGTTGAACCTTCACAATGTAATGGGGACATTTATACTCGATTTATGATTAGTATTAGCATTAATATTTATGCTTAATAATTGACAGGTTCAACTTTTAAATTAAATATTAAATTTCTTCTTTTCTATAAATAATCAATGGCGTATTTGGCCTTTGTTTTTAATAGACAACGGATAAGGATAATTGACAATACACATATGATTATGTTGTTTATGTTTGTTCCAACAAGCTCGAAAACGATAATATTTCGGTACAAATCATGCTCTGTATACAATTTTTGTGTATCAGCAGTGTTCACCGATTATAAAGTTGACAAATGACATGTCACCACGAGGAAGCAAAGGCCTCTTTTCTGTCTGATTTGTATAAAATTTCTGCTTATTTTTATTTGTTATAAATTTGAGACTTAAATCCGTTAAAATGTCCTTAATTAAACCTATTTTTGAATAATAATATTTTTAAATAAAACTAACTAGTAAAAATATTAATAGAAACACATTTAAAACTCAAATATCTTAAAAGAACACAACCGGCCTCTTACACATTTCTTCAGTAACCATATATTTTGTTGACTGCAGAATTATATCTTATTAGGTATTAGGTTTAAAAAAGAATTACTAATACTAATTATAAAACGAGTATAAATACCTTTTTTGAATGATTTAACAAATTTAATGCTTAATCATAATACTAATACAAATACTAATACTAAGGGAGTATAAATAGACCCATAGACAAAAACGAGTCAGTGTTTTACAATTTGGATAAATTTGTAAAAAAAAGGAAATGTCTTCTTTAAAAAATCTCATAAAATCTGTTACTAATCTCGAGTAATTTTTTACTTTTTGCTAAAGCCACCCAATATGGCATGGATAATGAAGCCGGAGCAAAATGACTGAAGAAGAAGGAATATGCAGTAGAAACATTACTTGTTGGAAGAACCACATTTGATATTTTCAAATTCAGGGCTAAGTTGCACATAACACAAATGAATTTTTGTATTTTGTGTTTTTGGACTCCTCAAGAAAAATTTTTAAAAAAGTTAAACGAATTGAGTTTCTAGTATTTAAATATTTGATTGTGGTATTTCTTTGGGAACATCACAAATATCTTTTTCTGACAAATTTGGATGGGGTTGCTTTTGAAATGGACTTTAGGTTAGATGTAGCCATTTTGCAATGCAATTTGGTCGAAGATTTCAGTCAGATGGAGTCACTTATGATATAATCGGAATATACTATCTAATAAAGTATATTTCATAATATACTATCGCACTTTAAAATTAGTTTTGAAACATATGTAGCCGGTTTTACAAGTAGACAGCTCAATTGTAAAATAGGTTTTTTTATCCTTATTTTATATTTTTATTTTAAAGTTTTGAAATTCATAAACTGAATATTATTTACTAAGAAATCTGTAAATCTAATACAAGAAATTTGCTCAATTATTTAATTTAATAACAGTTAATTAAATAAATAAAAAATATTACCTGGTGGAACTTTATTATAACAGTCAGACTCCGCTAATTCTTCAAAAAAATGATGAAAAGTTGATCTGAGTATGTCCAAATTTCTGCAATGTTTCAGAACATCCCAAAGCTTATCAGCAATATTAGGCGTTCTAATATTGGTTAAATCAAATTTCGTTTTGTCTTCCATCTTAATCAAGTTCGATGGGATGATTCCTTTAAGACTCTCGTGAATATCTGATAAAACTAAGGAATTATTAGAAATGACGGTATCGGCTCCAATTCCTGAGTAATCATCGGCAACATCGATGTAGCTCTGCAGTAAAGTGAGTTCCTCCCAAAGAAAATAGACCATTGAATTTTTATGACCTGCTATTACTTGCAGGAACAGCTGCACTTCTTTTAATAAACTAGAAGGTTTATCCAAATCGCATTTCGTAGACCTGGTAAACTGAATGCATATGCTACCGTTGTATTTACAATCTTTCTTAACATTTTGTAAGAAAACACCAAATGTAAAATATTTAAAAGTTATCAAATAGTTTATGTGACATTTTTTTATAACGTCCAACAAAGTGTGACTACGTTCCATTGATGGAAACAATAATTTTTCGTGTGTAATAGGTAAAAATCCCATAATATTTATTGTACATGTAAATATGTTCTTACTTGTTTCTTGTACTCCTAATAGAATGGTTTTAAGTGCATTGTTACCATCGCTTACTACAAACACAGCCTCTCTATTCTTAATATTCGTTTTCGAATTTAAATACTGCCTGGCCTTAATAAGTGGAAGTGGAAAATGTCTGTTTTCACTTTCAGACCATTGTTGCAATATCACGTCTTTTTCTATTACCAAAGTCTCGTCGCCTTCTAAATCTACCTTTAATGGACTGCCTGTCACGTCTAAAGTAGTAGTGGTAGTATTAATAGGTGCAGTTTCATCTAAAGTATAATTGGTTTTTGGAGACGAATTATTTTCCTTTGATTTATTCAAATAAGCCAATATTATTTTTTCTCCTCTCCTATTTGGCAAAAAGTCCAGTAAATATGAGGGTGGATATTGCAATACTTCTTTTATATCGCTGAGATCGTAATTATTCATTGTTAAAATGTAATAACGACAAAAAAACAAATTTGAAATTTGAATAAAAGTTAGGTTATTTATTTAACGAACAACAAATCGCAGTTGCCAGATTGACATGAAAAAAGAAATAAATGATTAAAAGTTGACAATAATTGAACTTCAATTATTGAAGCGTTATTTATTTGAAATCTGTAGACATTAAAATTTATTTTTTATTGTTTTTTTTTAGCTATATTTTAGGAGACAACCTCTTCATATTTTCATTATATAATGAAAATCTAATTTTTACTTTTCATGATAATTACGTAAAATTTTATAATTTGACAACACTGCTCTTCATAAAACCGTTACTTATATAGACAACCATCATTACAAACTAATGCAAGTCGTGTTGCGTGTGAAATTCCAAACTGCTATGTTTAACGTTTTTAAAATTCAAAAAGCGGTCGATCGCTCGTGATTTCCGAATTTATAAGGCCTTATTCAGTGATTTATCCTTTATTGAAGACATCGTTAAGAGAACGAGAGTTCAACTAACGACTTCTATAAAGTTAATTTTTGAAACTCTATTCAATAACAAAGTCGTTACGTTGTTTCTAGCAAATCTGAACTATGATTTCTAATAAAATTTAGTGTTTTGTGATAAAACAATGTACGTTGATGATTATATTTGCAATTTGAAACGCAAAATAAAAATTCTGCCAGTATATTCCATTTTCTTCTTCACAATATATATTTTTTTTTAATCTACAACACGATCAGAGAAGTGTACTGCGAGAACAGAAGTCGAAAATTCCATGTTATAGTTGGACAAAAGATAAAATGGTTGCAGAAAAAAAACATTTAATTATCCAATCAACGGTATGAACTATCATGCAGATTTTGGAAGTTGTACGACAAAATAAACAAGGAAGAGAATTCCACCTAGATAGATATGTTAAGGAATATGGACCATATCACTGCCAGAACAATACCCAGGTAGCACCTGACGTATATAAGACGTCACCGTATTCGTCAAAATGACGTCTAAAAGTCGCAGTAATATCACATCCAAAAGACGTCATAGAAATGACGTCTTTCGGACGTCTACTTTTTTTTAAGAATTTGACCTGTCAGGCCAATATGGCGGCAGGCAACTGACGTCCAAAAGACGTCATTTAGACGTAAACTCTTGGATGTTCAAAAAAGCCTTTAGGGAGCACATTTGGTTGCATAAGTACAATGTATATATTTATATTTTAACTAATTCTAATTGAATTAGTAAAAAATCTGATGTGTCCAACACATGACTTTCCTATCTAGTTATTATAGGCTTTTTTCCGGTTATTTTGTACAACCTGTTGCAGCATCTCTAGAAATGTTTAGAGGATAAACTAAATATATGCATTGTCCACATACATCTACTTCGAAACATTTTTCTATAGATATTCATTGAAAACGAAAATACTGAAAAATTTTAATTTCCTACAATTTTTTCATTACGGTCCATTTTAGAAAAATTATGTATAAACAAAAATTATAGAGATCGATATCGCAAACAACTTTTAGTTCAACAATTTTCATAAAAATCAGAATTTTGCACATTTTGTCAAATTTCTCGAATACGGACCATTTCAGGAAATTTTGACATGAAGCAGAAATTATAGATAATAATATAAGAAGTAACTTTTATTTGAACAAGTTTTTTCTCCAAACATAACAGATATATTCCATAAAATATAAAAACGGCCTTCCCATACCCCCCAGATGTTCGGACTTTGTCCAAAATCTAATCATTTCACATCAGGCCGAAATAAAACTTAAGTTTAAAATTTAATGTTTTTTTATTCGTTTTGGAGTTTTCTTCAAATTTCAAAATTTACAATTTTCTCAAATTTCTCGAATACGGTCCATTTTAGAGAAATTATGTATAGTATAAAAATTATAGAGAATTATATTACAAACAACTTTTATTTAAACAATTTTTATGAAAAAATAAATTTTTACATTTTGTCAAATTTCTCGAATACGGACCATTTTAGGAAAATTTTGTATAAAACAAAAATTTTAGATAATAATATAAGAAGTAACTTTTATTTAAAGAATTTTCTTCCTCAAACGTAAATAACAGATATATTACATAAAATATAAAAATGTCCACCTATAAAGTAACCCCCCCCCCAGATGTTCCAACTCTGCTCAAAATCTAATCTGTTCATTGGACACTCGAACAAAGCTTAAGATTAAAATTTGGTGTTTTTCTGTGTATCGGTTAATGAGTTATGCGACACACGCGCGCGGCGAACACACACACACACACACACACACACACACACACACACACACACACACACACACACACACACACACACACACACACACACACACACACACACACACACACACACACACACACACACACACACACACACACACACACACACACACACACACACACACACACACATCGTGAAAATAGTCAAAACGGATTCAGGGGACCTCAAAACGTAAAAATCCGTCGAAAACTCGAGGTCGAAAAAAATCATGATTCCTATACTTTCCTTATATCTGTATAGAGATAGGAAAGTAAAAAGGATAAAAATTAAGCATTATCAAAATAATTAACCTAAATACCCAACTTTAGCATACGGTAGAAAAAATGAAACCATATTTACTGTATAACTGAATAAAAAATGTTAAAATCAGTTCAAAATAGCGTAAAAAAGCGTAAACAAAGTGTCACGCATTGGTGGTGAACGTTAACTAACAATGAGGATTTCATTGAGATTTACGCGCTAAATTTAAAATTATATTAATGGCCCCTACATTAAGAATCATTAATCAACATAATTTAAAGATAATGAGCATATCCTTTAGTAAATTTAAAACTATTATCAGAAACGTCAAGTCATACATTTTATTACAAAATCTGATGTGTCCAACACATGACTTTCCTATCTATTTATTACAGGCTTTTTCCGGTTATTTTGTACAACCTAATGCAGCACCTCCATAAATGTTTAGAGGATAAAATAAATATATACATTTTCCACATACATCTACCTCGAAACATTTTTCTATAGATATTCATTGAAAACGAAAATACTGAAAAATTTAAATTTCCTACAATTTTTTCATTACGGTATATTTTAGAAAAATTATGTATAAACAAAAATTATAGAGATCGATATCGCAAACAACTTTTAGTTCAACAATTTTCATAAAAATCAGAATTTTGCACATTTTGTCAAATTTCTCGAATACGGACCATTTCAGGAAATTTTGACATGAAGCAGAAATTATAGATAATAATATAATAAGAAGTAACTTTTATTTGAACAATTTTCTTCTCCAAACATAAATAACAGATATATTCCATAAAATATAAAAACGGCCTCCCATAAAGTACCCCCCAGATGTTCTGACTTTGTCCAAAATCTAATCATTTCACGTTAGGCCGAAATAAAACTTAAGTATAAAATTTAATGTTTTCTTCTTTATCCGTTTTTGAGTTTTCTTCAAATTTCGAAATTTACACATTTTCCCAAATATCTCGAATACGGTCCATTTTAGAGAAATTATATATAAAATAAAAATTATAGAGAATTATATTACAAACAACTTTTGTTTAAACAATTTTTATAAAAAAATATTTTTTTACATTTTGTCAAATTTCTCGAATACGGACCATTTTAGGAAAATTTTGTATGAAACAAGAATTTTAGATAATAATATAAGAAGTAACTTTTATTTGAAGAATTTTCTTCCTTAAACTTAAATAACAGATATATTCCATTCGGTTTCATAACATTATACCCAGGCAGCACACTTTGGTATAAATTACGTATTTTTTTAGGTACTACCATACGTATGAATACGGTTGATGTACTACCAAATATATTCGTGAAAATGTCCGCCTAATAAACGTCGATTACTAAGAATTTATCCACCTATAATTAAACGTTTTTACTATACGTCTATATTAGATTTATAGTTGTAGTATATTTATACGAATTCACTTTGGTATAAAATACGTTTTTTATGTACTACAATATACGTATGGATACTGTTGATATGCTATCCAATATATACGTGAAAATGTCCGCCCTATAAACGTATATTTTTTTATTTTTTATACGTCTAATATTACTACTTTATCTACCTTTAATTATCCTGTTTCACTATACGTCTATATTAGATATATTTGTATGATTTTTATTAATGTGTAAAATGCGTCTACCTGATATTGTTTTAAATGTATTTCAAACACAAATTAAATAAAGTGATCAAAACAAAATGTCTAAAAGATGCCATGGAAAAATGTTAATATTTCTTAAATGATAGTTTGGATTTTATCCATAGCAGGTGTGTATACACCAGAAATAGACATTACTCGTGTTTCTATTTTGGTTGTTATTGGCCTAAATATTTAGAAATTTTTTTTGATCACTTGTTATATGTACAGAACAATATTTAATTAAAAAAAAAATAAACAATTAAATACTAAAATATACAAAAAAATAAACACTAAAATACTGAATAACAAACTAAACGAAACTTTTCTTTAACTAACAAAAAATATATATGAAAATAAAAATCTTAGCTTAACACTTTGGATGTGTTGTGTCCTAGACGGGCCTTAGCTAACTTAAGCTAATCTTGCATGGCACACCTAATCGTTCGGTCGGTTAAGTCGCTTGGTTCACCCCCATTCCTATAACCAAAATTTAACTAAATTTCAGGTAAAATATTTTCTAAAAGCTCCGAAGTTAAATTTGTATTATTTTCTTGGAAATTATTATAAATAATAGAATCAGATGATATATTAATTTTCGAAGCCTTATTAATATTATCTTCATTGGGAATAAAAAAAAATTGGTTTGACTTTAAAGCATCTTGAACATTTTGAGCTATTTTTCTACGTAGATGACGCAGAGACAGGGTTATTTTAGACATTTTATTAAATAAAAAACAACTGACCAAAAAAAAGGAAAATAAGTATGCTTGGAATAACTAGGTAACCTAAAAAAATACGTATA